AATACAGAATATCATAAATACATCGTAGAACATCACATTAACGCTACACGAACATCACAAAGTATAGAATAGAATATCAAATGTATACTACATGAACATCACAAATATCTTGAAATGTGAAATAACATAATAAAATTAGTGAGGTAATTAATTAGTGTAAGTGCATCTAGCCCTTTAGTGGGTTTTGGTGAATTGAATGACAACACCATTAAAGGTCTAACAAGTTTGCTAAATGTTAAACAGGAAATTGAGTTTATTGCATACACTTGTGGATTGTGGAATGAGAAGTATATATAGGTTCAACAAGAAGGCAAACTTGATGATATTCCACATAATGTTAAAATCAAGGCCAAAATTGTGTATTATTGTGTTGAAAGATCACAGAAATAATATAGTTCAAGAGAAAGACAACAATGCAAATGAAGTTGATAAAATGGCTTCTATGTTGAGAAATATCGTAGTATCATGAGAAAGCAAGCATATTTGGCAAATGTTAAAAGAGACATGAGTTGATGATTTTGGATTGGTCTCAATAATGGCTTGCTTTGCATGAATAAAAAGAGTTTGATAGTGGATTAGCTTTGATCAAGGATTGAAGAATGAGTAAAGAATGCATAAGTGAAGAAATACCAAGCAAAGATTTAAATGACAAAGGACACAACTCATATTGGATATAAGTCGGTCTCTATGTTGGTTTGCTTATATGGATAAAGATTTGGAAAATCACTTTGTATTGCTTTGATCAAGCTAGAAGTATGAAGATAGATATTGAAGTAAGTGTTAGGAGTGTTAAGCCAAGATGAAGAGGATATAAGGAATCATGAATTGACTTGACTATATTGATGTTTATTCATATATCTCAATCTATGTGAATCCAACTAAAGCTTGATTGATCTCAACATTTATATCTAGAAGATATTCAAGCAAGGATCACAATATTGAAGAAATGCTTTTTCAATGGATACTTAATATGATGTTACTTGAGTATGACTTGATAAGGTGAAGACAGCAAGGAAAGGGCTTCGAGGGACTAAGCGAAGGTGAAGGGCAAGCAATGGCTTGAGGACCGAGGTACCATGGCTAAGGTGAAGAAGAGAGTACTTGCATTAATTCGAGGAACTAATCGAGCTATGAGGAGTCATATTGTGTTGAGGATCAAATCATTAGTGGAAGTGACTTAAAGCCATGGATTGAACTCACATGTGTTGAAATCATTCAAGTCACATGCTCAAGGTATAATGGGAATGAGGATAATACATTCTATGGTGGAGCCCCCAATTATAAAAGAATGCGGTAACCAACTCAAAGGTGTTTAAATTCTTTTATATTTTGAATTTGAATTTAGGAAAAGCTGTACTATAAAGGGGGATACAATGCACAAGCTTTAATGTGCAACCAAGTGCTCATTTACCCACTAAATATCCTTAGAGCCTTAGCCAAGACAACAAGCTTTGCAATCCTATCTTTTATGCTGCCTGGCAGGTGAGGCACTGCCGCAGTTCAGCCGCAGCACAACCGCGACTTAACTGACCGTTGGGAGCAGAGGGTATTTATACCTTCTCTTCTCTCCCACAACGGTCACCAGTTCAAATCGACCATTTTCTTCCTAGGTGCAACCAGAACTGCTCTCTCTCTCCCTCACTCACCATTGGAGCCCCCTCAAGCTTCTCTCCTTGATTTCCTTCCAAATCTAAGAGAGTTTGAGCCTCCAAACTGCATTAGAGAGCAGCCCCAACTGTTCTTCGTCTCCTAGAGCACTTGGTTCGTGTTCAAGCCAGTGGATTGTGTTTGTTACTCTTAGAGCTTGCTCCTAGCTGGCTAGAGTGTTGCCCATGGAGCTTGCCAACTTGTGTGGCAGCCCGGGAGGTTTGTAATCACCCCAAACAGTTAGTGAAATCACCTCTCATCTCAAGAGTTCATTCTCTTGACTTGAGAACGAGGAAAGGGTTGAAAGAGACCCAAAGCCTTTGTGGCAACCTCAATAACATGGGCATAGGCAAGCCTTAGTGGCGAGCTGAACCACGGGATAAATCGGTGTCTCACTTGTGTTCTTGTGATTTGCATTGCTTTACTTGTATTTGTGGTGATTCTAGGGTTTGGTCTCGATCTACTTGTGCTTAAGCTTTCGTTGTGATTCAAGTGGTGGAATAGGTTCAACACTACCCTAGGAAGCTCAGTAATTTACCTCTTCTAATATTCCTTGGGCAGTTTTTGAATTATAGTTTGAGCTTGTCTGTAGGGGCAACAGTGCTGCATTTTCAGTGCGGCGGTGCTGCACCTTAGGAGCAGTAGTGACGCTCCTATACTAAAAACAAATTTGAGTTTTGTTTTAAACAGTCCTATTTACCCTCATCTAGGCGACATCAAGGTCCTTTCAATTAAAGTCACGTAAAAAGAAGAAAAAAGCTACCAAACATCACAAAAATATCTCCTAGAACATCAATGTATACTACCGAACATCACAAATACATCGTAGAACATCACATTAACACTACACGAACATCACAAAAATATAGCATAGAACATCATCTGTATACTACGTGAACATTACAAAATATCATAAAATATAAAATAAAATAATAAAAATAGTGAAGCAGTTAATTAAAGTCAAATAAAAAGAAGAAAAATACAACCAAACATCACAAAATATATCGTAGAACATCAATGTATGCTTGCTGAACATCATAAAATACATCATAGAACGTCACATTTTACTCGCGGACATAAAAAAATACATCATAAAATATTACATGTATACTACATGAACATCGCATGTATCAGTAAATAAAAAAAGTGAAACATAAAATTATAAATAGAAGAAAAGAAAGAAAATTAAAAAGAATAAAATAGAAAAATAGAAAATGAAATAAACAAAATTATTAATTCTATCAAAAAAAGAAATTAAAAATGTATAAATGTTAACAAATAAAAAGATAAGAAAACAAAAAATAAAGAAAAATAAAACTAAATAGAAGCAAGGAAAGAAATCAAAAAAGAAAAATAAAAATAAAAAGAAATAAAAATGAATAGAGTAAAATAATAATATTAAATGAATAAAGAAAATGAAAAGAATGACAAAAGTCCACAAAAAAGCAAATAAGAAAAGAAAAATGAATGAATGAAAGGAAAGAAAAAAGAAAAGGAAAGCATACAATAAAAAATTAAAATAGAAAACGGAAACAAAAGGAATAATAAAAGACCATCGAAAAAGAAAATGCAAAAAGAAAGGAAAGGAAAAAAGAAATAGAAAAAAGGAAAAGAAAAATAAAAATAAAAAAGGAATAATAGATGAAAAGAAAGAAAAATTTTAAACTAAAAGATGACAAGAATAATAGAACCCAACAAAAAATAAAAGAGAAAAGACAAAGGAAAAGAAATAGTAGAAAGGAAAGAAAAAGAAAATAGAAAAAAAGAAAAACTCACCTACGGATGGAACCTGGGCCATGTGCTCGAGTGGGCCGACTTTGCACGTCAATCATTGCGGGGGGGTGTGTCGGTGCAGGGATCGGATCCGACTGGTCGGCAGCGATGCTTTCCGTTCCCCGCGGCCAATTCTGTTTTTTATGGATTTCGGGTTATTTGAATTTGGACTTTGTGATTGATCTTTGAGATCAGTGAATTTTATGATTTTTTTTATTTTATTTAGCTAGAATGAGATGAATGGTCTTGGAACGGCCTATTGGGCTCACCAAGCCGGCACGACATAGCTAACCTTGCTAGTGCCACCGCTTGGACCTTACGCTGAGCACGTCGGGTGGCACGGCATGCTCGTTACTCTAATAGTGCCTAATGAGCCCGTGCTAGGGCCATGCCGCCCATTTGGCCATCGAAAATGCTCTCGTTAGGGTGTCCGACCGTCCGGACGTGTTCTTCCTGGGCCTGCGGAGCCCAATACGGAGCCTGCTCCTGGCTTCTCCCTAAAAAAATGTTGATTCCCCATTTCTCCCCGTCGTGGCCTTCTTTCAATGTGTGCAAGCGTCTTCCGTAGTCGACTCCACCATGCCGCTCGCCCGTCGCTCACCTTCCTAGCGCGGGGGAAGCTCGCCACGGGCATCGCAGTCGACCGACGCTATCGCCTGCACCGTATCGCGGGGGACCGCACTGGCCCATCGGCGGCCATGCAGGCGCTCGCCGGGGCCACGCAGCCGCCTGCCTGCTGGCATCCCCCCTCCCGCGCCACTCCACGGCATCGAGCTTCGCATCGATGAGCCTCCATTCGTCCACGCAGCAAGTAGATGCTATGCTAAAAGCCTATATTGTAAGAGTATGTTTCAAGTATTTTATAAGTATGTTGCAAGTGTTGTATATCGATGTTGCAAAAGTAGATCGGGTTGTTGCAATGGCTATACACGTATGTTTCAAATGTATGTTCCAAATATTTCATCTGTTCCAGCCGTATGTTGCAAGTGTTTAACTAGATGTTATAAAAGTAGATATGCATGTTGCATTTACGTGCATGTTGCAAGCATATGTTTCAAGTGTTTCATACATATGTTGCAAGTGTTTCAATTGAAAAGCATTAGAACCATATGCACTACTGATTATTGGCTCGATGACATCAGCGTGTCCATGTCAGATTGGCACGCCCTTATCCAGCCTGTTTAGATCCGGGAACGGAACCGGAGGTATCCGAACCTGAACGCGCCGTTTTGGCTTGGTGGAGGGAACGAGTCCATCCGTCACCGGGTCATGCCCTCGCTCCGCCAGCATAAAGGAGTCATCGACTGGTTCCCAGCGAAACGGTCGGACAACGCGGTCCGCGAGCGCTGATCCTGTCGCAATACTGAATTCAGAAGTGGCTCACAGACCCTCCAATCATGTCGCTTATCGGTGGCCGCCGTCGTTGTCGGCTGTCGCTGGCGTGCCGCGAGAATTTTTGCGTGCTCCCCGCACCAACTGCCATCTATCTATCCATATATATGTTCTTATGTTGACTTCCCTTTCACCTCTCGCGTTCCTGCTGTCCTTGATCGATTCTGGCCAGGAGCGCCGCCGCGGCGATGGGGCGTGGCGAGAGGCCGGCAAAGGCGAGTGAATCCGCCGAGGTCGAAGAGAGGCTGCTGCCTCCGCCGGCCGCGGCGAGGAGCGGAGATGCTGGCGCCGGCGGCGGGAGGAGGGGCAGGTGGGAGAAGACATACCTGGACGTGCTGGGCGTGTGCTGCTCCGCGGAGGTCGCGCTCGTGGAGCGGCTCCTGAAGCGGATCGACGGCGTGAGGGCGGTCAGCGTTGTCGTCCCCTCCCGCACCGTCGTCGTCGAGCACGACCCCGCCGCCGTCTCCCAGTCCCACATCGGTAATATAACCTAACCGGCGTCTCTTCCCGTTCCTCCTCGGATATCTCCGCGCAGATATACATTCTTGGTTGGCTCACCCTTGCCCTGCCTCGGATCATCAACCAGTGAAGGTTCTCAACAAGGCGGGGCTGGAGGCCTCCGTGCGCGCGTACGGCAGCAGCAGCGGCGGCGTCGCGCGCTGGCCCAGTCCGTACGTCGTCGCCAGCGGCGCGCTCCTCCTGGCGTCCCTGCTCGCGCCGCTGCTCCCTCCGCTGCGCTGGCTCGCCCTGGCGGCGGCCTGCGCTGGCGCGCCGCCGATGCTGCTCAGGGCGCTCGCCGCGGGGCTCGCCCTGGACATTAACGCGCTCATGCTCGTCGCCGTGGCCGGCGCCGCGGCGCTCGGGGACTACGCGGAGGCCGGCGCCATCGTGTTCCTCTTCACCGCCGCGGAGTGGCTGGAGACGCTGGCGTGCACCAAGGCCAGCGCCGGGATGTCGTCGCTCATGAGCATGGTCCCGCCCAGGGTCGTGCTCGCCGAGACCGGGGAGGTCGTCAGCGTGCGCGACGTCGGGGTGGGCACCGTCGTCGCGGTTAGGGCCGGGGAGGTCGTGCCCGTCGACGGCGTGGTGGTCGACGGGCAGAGCGAGGTCGACGAGAGCAGCCTCACCGGCGAGTCCTTCCCCGTGCCCAAGCTGCCGCCGTCCGAGGTCTGGGCCGGCACCATGAACCTGGACGGTAAAAGCCGCAGTTTTTTTTTCTGTTACATTTGGAAAATAAATGTCCATGCGGTTTGTGGTGATCAGAATCCTAACAAGAATGTGACGTTCATGCTGAAGGTTACATAGCCGTGAGGACAACAGCTCTGGCCGACAACTCGACAGTGGCCAGGATGCAGAGGCTTGTGGAGGCGGCGCAGAACAGCCGGTCCAAGACGCAGCGGCTGGTCGATTCATGCGCAAAGTACTACACCCCAGGTACGCGACGCATACGGCATACACCGTCAGCTTCATGATCTGATGGCAGTGTTTTTCAGCAGGATGAATTGTTGTTTCTTGTTTGCAGCTGTGGTTGTTCTTGCAGCAAGCGTGGCGCTTGTCCCGCCGCTGCTGTCCCGAGCACAAGACCTGAAACGGTGGTTTCAGCTAGCCTTGGTCGTGCTGGTGAGCGCGTGCCCCTGCGCGCTGGTGCTGTCGACGCCGATCGCCACGTTCTGCGCGCTCCTGCGGGCGGCGAGGATGGGGGTTCTCATCAAGGGCGGGGACGTTCTTGAATCGCTGGGCGAGATCAGGGTCGCGGCGTTCGACAAGACGGGGACCATCACCAAAGGGGAGTTCAGCATCGATGGGTTCCATGTGGTTGGGGACAAGGTTGATATGAGCCAGCTTCTTTACTGGTACGACTGATGGCTTATCCCTTCAGGCTTCAGCCTTCCATTTAGTAGAGAACTTCAACTGAAAGAACAGAATTTTTACAACTAGAGAGTTTCAACTGAAAGAACAGAGACAATCCTTCCAATACTACTGAGTAAATGTGACATTTTGTCAGATTCCAAGATTTGATCATGGGTCAGTTCTGTTAAACTGAACTTGATGATTAGCAGGTCATGGATGGGTGATCACTTCTTTCTTGCAGGGTGTCAAGCATTGAGAGCAAATCAAGCCACCCAATGGCGACGGCACTTGTTGAGTACTCCCAGTCCAAATCCATCCAACCCAAGCCGGAAAACGTGACTGAATTCCGTATCTACCCTGGGGAGGGCATCTCCGGAGCGATAAATGGAAGACAGATCTTCATTGGAAACAGAAGGATCATGGCAAGGTCCTCATGTTACACAGGTAGTAGTCGAAACCAAAAACAGGCTGACACTTGAACAAGTTTCAGACAACTCTGAACTTGCAAACATTCTTGGACAACAACTCTGACCTCAACTCTGTCATATGCACACAGGTCCGGAAATGGACGATCACAAAGGCGCGTCGATCGGGTATGTGATCGTCAACGGCGATCTCGTGGGGGCGTTTTCGCTCTCCGACGACTGTAGGACGGGCGCGGCAGAAGCGATCCGGGAGCTGAGATCAATGGGCATCAAGTCGGTGATGCTCACAGGGGACAGCAGGGCGGCGGCCACGCGGGCACAGCAGCAGCTCGGAGGCGTCCTGGAGGAGCTCCACTCCGAGCTCCTCCCGGCGGACAAGGTCGGGCTGGTCGGCGACCTCAAGGTGAGGGTCGGGCCAACGCTGATGGTCGGCGACGGCATGAATGACGCCCCGGCGCTGGCCATGGCGGACGTGGGCATCTCCATGGGCCTCTCGGGCTCGGCGGCCGCCATGGAGACCAGCCACGCCACGCTTATGTCCAGCAACATCCTCAGGGTGCCCGCGGCCGTCGCACTCGGGCGGCGCACCCGCGCCACCATCGCCGCCAACGTGGTCGTCTCTGTGGGCGCCAAGGCCGCCGTCCTCGCGATGGCCGTCGCGTGGCGGCCCGTGCTGTGGGCGGCCGTGCTCGCCGACGTCGGCACGTGCCTCCTCGTCGTGCTGCACAGCATGCTGCTGCTGCGGGAGCCGGGCACGGGCAGCTGGCGGAGGAGGGGTGGGGAGCCCGAGGCGTGCCGCGCGACGGCGAGGTCGCTGGCGATGAGGTCCCAGCTCGACGGAGCATTGAACGGCGGCTCCGCGGCCGAGAGCGCTCAGCAGGGATCAGGCGGTGGGAGTAAAGCAGGCTGCCGTTGCTGTCAGAAGCCAAGCGAGCCGTTTGAGCAGGAGCACTCAGCAGTGGTGATCGACATACCGTCTGCTGACGCTGAGCATCCTCGGGCGACGGCGAAAGGCGACGCCACCGGATGTTGCAGCGCCGCCCGCGAAGCTTGTGCTGCTCCCACCACGGTGACTAGCGTGGACTGCGCGCCACGAGGATGCTGTGGCGGCAAAGGCAAAGGAGACGGCCGCGTGAGCGCAAGGACAAGCTGCTGCAGCAATGGAGGTGGAGGAGCTGCCCGTGATTCTCCTAAGAAGGCAGGGAAAAGATGCAATGCAAGGTGTTGTTCTAGTGGTAAATGAGATATATCTAGTTATGTACACTCCCAAGCCTGAAGTGCAGGATACAATCTCAACTCTGAAGTAATAGTGAAATAATGACTGTTCATGCGACACCTGCAAAACTTAACCAGTGGATCAACCATGTGTTCAGATAGCGACTGGGCAGCTCGAATCTGTTGACATTTGTGTAGTTAATTTTGTACAGTAATTTATACTCGAATTTGTGGAGTGATCAAATCCTTAGCTTTTTGGAACTGCTTTTGTCTCTTTTTTTCCCCTAGGAAATTTTGTAGTGTTCATTCATGAAGAAAGTTTTAGGTACTAGAGTACTATTAAAACAAGGTATATATTTAGATAGTGCTTCATCTTCCGAAAAGTGATTCTGCTGCTAAAAAGTAAAACGCCAATCAAATAGATAGAACATAAAGTTATTTTTCTAGAAGCCACTACTTTTCGTAGCACCTTAGAGCACAACCAACGCAAGCTAATAAGATTGTTGGTCTCAACTCAGAACTACTATCCACATGGACAAGAGAACATACAACAGCCAACAGGGTTAATAATCCCACAACAAAGACTATTGGTGATGTAAGAAAAGTTTATTTGGCTTTCTGTCTCTTCCTTTGCGAGTCCTTCGTGCCTCCCTCTCAACTAACTCAACTTTGTTTGGTGAGATGCTGTTTTCCCCAATGCGCAAACTACTATGACAGGATATGGGACCACCAATCTATCTGACTTGGACAATGCATGCTTATGTGGAGGTTGAGACTCCCAGCCATGGATGAAGTGTTCGGGAGGCCCTTAGGCCATGCTCAACACAAGTATACAACAGTAGTGGTCTTAGGAGAGAGAAGATAACATGTATTCCCAAACCACTAAGGCCTTCTCCAACGTGCCACCGTGGCTTGTAGTCCCTGCGCAAATCATCCATGTCATCTCGAATAGTGGCTCCGCTGCATGTCAGAACATCTTGCAAAGGATGCAGATGCTTCAACTAACAAATGGTGCAAGCCACTGCTTATTTTGGAAGAAAAGCTAAGACTGATTGTGAGAAAGTAAAGGCAGGCGAGCCAGCAGATGCCTACGTAGAGAGAGAAATGGTGATATCGGCAACAGATAAAGTGACTAGCCTACGATGTAGAGAAGACAACTTCAACTATTTTTCCATTTACATGGCAGCTAACTTTTGATTGAGGCCACTAGCATTAGCTACCTGCATGGGGGCTGCCTCCTAATGAGGTAGCTACAATGCAAGCCACACCGGTGAGTAGAAAGAGTAAGCATGCAACGGGCTTTTACCTTTTTCCTCTCTTATTACTCTCTCTCTCTCTCTCCTGAGGCAATATGGGTATCTCAGTAGGTAGATTTGTGCAAATTGAGCCCGTCCTACCTGGACTCGTGTAGCACCCGGTTTTAAGGACAAAACCAGATACACATCATATATGAGCCTAAAAGTCAAATCTCACATCTAGCTACAAATATGAGTAATATCAAAAGATAATGCTAAAATACATAGTGTATTAGTATAAAGATTATAACCTCAGAGTATAAACAGCGAAAAGACAACTCCGATCTTCAGCGAAGACTCCAAATCCACAGGGATAACTAACTGGTTAATCACAAGCCTAATTCCTCCAAACTCTAGCAATCTGGTACCCATCGGGATTTTTATCCAAATATTAAAAAATAAAGCAAGCGTAAGTACATGTCGTACTCAACAAATATAACATGGGGTTCATGGGGCTCAAAAGGCTGACACTGGTTTAACTGCGATTAGTTTTTAATGGTCACAATTTTAGCAATTGAGTAGCAACAAGTTTATCACAAGCCCATATAAACACATGATCAGGTAAACATGAACAATGAATAGCATAACAAGTAATCATTAGTGAGCATCATTATCATCAGTATCATTAGTGTTCATCTTCTATTCCGTAAATGTTCCAAGGCCGCTCGTGACCGTGAGCACGGCTGATATACCAGTTTTACACTCTACAGAGGTTGTACACTTTCACTGTGAGCCGTGATTTACCCTTTCGCCCGAGGTGATCAGCCTCTTAACCCACTACCAAGGAAGGTCGGCAGGGTTCACTATGAAGCCTTTCAAAGGTTCATCTAACAAGTTATGGCCGTTAGATTTCTGTGGCCTGCAAATGTAGAGCTCCCCTTTCGACATGCACAATGACGCGCAGCCTATATACTGACGGACAGAGACCGCACTATATCCAACCCGGAACACACCCCTCTTGCGCCATAAAGGTAACCACTAACAAGCTAGAAAATGTCATCATACTGAGCTAAAGCCAGAGCCATATAGCCTCATAGCTATACTGTAAGTCCCGGATGATCACTTACAGATAAGTCCTTAGGGAAAGGAATCTAGAGCACCATAAAACATCTCAATGCTCTTACCCCTTGTTCCATGTTGGTAAAAAGCATCTTTTAATGTTTATTGCATATTACATTAGTCAAGTTACAAGATCATGGTTATAGTTGAGCACTAGCATCATACTATCTAATGCAATAACCCAAAGGTATTAAGGTACAGGGTAACAAAATACTAGTAAATCCTTAGTGACAGTCAAGGTAGACACATGCAATATGAATTAAGTGATTAAAGGTGTATAGGACAACAAGTAAGATCACATGTTATACTTGCCTTAAACACCGATCCTTCGGTAAGCTTTAATCTTCAATGTTCTTCTTCTTCTTCTTCATTTTGATCACCACGTATATCTCACCGACTGGACGTAATCATAAAGCACCACAGAAACATCCGTACAATCATACATGAAGCAAACAATAGATCTAAATTAGAACAGTACATCAATCATAAAAAATAAGTAAAAGAGTTTGAAACACGATTCTACGCATCACTACGAACACACAGACGCGAGAGGCACTCTAACCGGAGCTACGGTTAAAAGATACAACTACCGGGAGATCTACTCATAAAAGAAAATATAAAATTATTAGCTTCATGTTGTTTTAATTATATAAAAACATATATAAGATATTTTATAAATTAATTCAAATTTAAGTTTGAATTATAATACTAAAGTAAAACAAATCATATTTTATTTATAAAACCCAATTGCATAATTATTATTCAAATTAGAGTTTAAACCATGAAATTCTAGAATTAGTGACATGATAAACATCATTACTAATGTGTAGTTTATGTTGTTAAGAATCCAATGCAACTTGAATGGGCTAAAACGGAGTTAAAACGTAGAAGATATGATTTAAACAAGATTTCCTTTATTAAAGTAATAAATTAAATCTAACCTCGAATTTTAAAAGTTGAAAACTTATCTAACAATAGTATGAACATGTAGATTATGAAATTATGAACCTAACGCAAGTTGAACGGATCAAATCGGACTTAAAACGGAGAAGTTATGGCTAAAACAAAATCAGTGGTAAAACTGTAAATAAGTGAAAACGTATTTTGGATCTAAACAGATCAAACTACGCTTTCCTAAGAAGAAAACGTACTCTTGAAAAAGTGCTATGGACTGCGGCTTCTATAATTGAAAAATGGGGGAGGGTTCTTTTGAAAATCTACTCGCCGAAGGGGTATGGGCTAACTCGAGCCGTTGGATCTTCACTGGTCGGCTTGGATTAGATCAGAGGGGAAAGGAGCGAGGAGAGCCGCCGGAACAGTAGCTGGGCGCGGCGGACTCCATTGCCGACGGTGAGAGACCTCACCGGCGCACCTAAATCCGAACCTAGAGGCCACAGGAGAGAAAACCGAGGGCACAGGGGGCAAGCGGTGACCAAGGCAAACTCACCACGGCGGATCTCGGCGACGCGAAGCAAGTGGAGGTGGCACTTCGCTCGGCGGGCGACAATGACTCGGCGGCGCTGGGTTGTAGCGCGACTGTGGTGGCTCGGCGAAGGTAGCTGCGGCGCTGGAGGGCGGAGTAGGGAGGCGGCGCGGCTCGGCCGGCTATTTATGAGCCAGGCAGCCTTAGGGTCCAAGCTACCGAGGGGGAAGGCGTAATGGAGCCGGACATGGACAGCGTCGGCGGCAGACTCCGGCGGGGCTACGCGAGGGAGAAGGCGATGCCGACAGGGCGGCCCCACCTGTCGGCACAGGAGAGAGAGGGAGCGGATGCGCGACGGGCCTTGCTGGCCGTGAAGCTGGGCCGCGGAGGGAGGAAACGGCCGGCACGGGAAAAAGAAAAACGGCCACGCGGCAAAAAAAGCGGGTCGACGCTGCTGCTGGGCTGCAGGCGGGAGAAACTGGGCGGGACTGGGCCGAGAGAGTGAGGAGGAAGAGAGGACGGCTCGGCTGGGCTAGATGGTCGCTGGCCCAGATAGGGGAAGAGGAGTGTTTTTTCCATTTTCCTATTTCGTTTTCAAAACCAAATTCAAACACAAACCAAATCAAATTCGAACAGGATTTCAAATTCACTTTTCAATTCAGACATAGATGAGAAATTTTGGTAAGTTTACAAAAAATAAATTTTACAACTTTTCAAATCCTTTTATTTTCAATTTTTTTTTCTTTTACTTCAAAGCCAACTTTAAAAACATTTTGGCATATTTTCAATTTGAATCAAATTCACATAATACAAAGAAACAAATGCACCGGTATGTATGCAAAACCATGTTGCTAGCTTATGATGAATTTTAATTTAATGAAAATTTTTATTTTCCTAGGTTTTTATGAGCACAAAATTCATAAATGAATCATTTTAATCCTATTTTCAAAAGTGCAAAATTTAGGGTGTTACAGCTCGGCCCAAGCTCACTGGGTTTTGGACCGTCCACGAACCTGAGTGAACTGAGCCTAGGCACATATCTCGCTGCTCAAAAAAATTTATCGACTTGAGCTCAACCCGAAATATTTATTTTAGTTGTTTTACACCGTAAACAGCACGGCACGGCCCGTCCAGACCCGGACCAATCAATTCAACGCAAAAAGCTACACACTGACCGGACGTAAAGGATATTACTCGATCACGAGGGTCCAAACCAGTATAAATCGTTCGTCTCTTTGCGTTTACTATCGAGTTCTGCGTACGTCGAAGCCTTTCAATCATCGTCCTGGGTAATCCCGTGACGAGTTGTCGGTCATCAAACACCGACAAGCCCGTGCTGAACCTGGCCCGGCCCGCAAAATGCTCTGGTTTGCAGGTACTACTACCACCCTGTAAGCTATTACTTTTTCCTTCTCTTACCTTCAAGTCAGACTTGTTCCTTTGTGGTATGATGGAGCCATTATCCTAGTTGTCTCGTTGGACGTGTGTCTAAACCTTGCTTTTGACTTTTTTGTTTTTCGAGTGGATGGAAATAGGGAGATGTTTTACAATTGTTTCGAGGGAGGACAGAGAGAATGGGTATGTTTCAACCAAACAATTTACAACTTTTTTACAACACATAGCTCAAATTAGTTTTTTTTTCACGGCTCAAAAAAGCTAAGAGTGAATGCTGAACATAGATGATTCTTAGGTTAAATAGTTTCTACTACCTCTAAGTTTTCTTATACATAGGATTCACTTTTTAAATTAAAGAAAAGAGTTCTTACGTAAATTAAGCTAAGCATGGAAATTGTAGCAAAATTTTCGGAAACAATGTGTCAATGTTTGATTTGTGAACATCTAAGATGTTTAATTCGAAGATATTAAGATAACTTATAAAATTATGCATATTAATTGATTTTTTTATACATTATAGTAGAAAAATCATAGTCAAATTAGGACGGAGAGAGTAGCTTGCACGGGCCGCTTGATAATTTGATCAATGATAGTTGATCCAGAGCGGAGCTACAGTGTGGTCCCTGTGGTGGGCCGCGGACCATCCTGTAGATTTGGCCTAAAGTCTAGTATCCCCTCGGTAGTTTGGCACAAAGCCTGTATGCTTGTGCTGCCGATCGAACCTGACCAAGTCGAAGTGACGTCCGCAAGACCGCGACCTGCTCCTCGGTCTTCTCACTCCAACCGCTCGACTATGGCGGACTGCAGCGTTGCAGCAGCGGAGCCGTTGATCTGATTATTATGTGATAATGTCAACCTTTGGAGCTGGATTTCTTTGAATTGCTGTTGGTTAAATAAATCAGATTTCATATAATTTGATTGAAAAAAACTTGGACTGCAGTATGCGCCCCGAGCATTCGCATTACGGTAGAGGACTCGTCACCGGTCCGAGAAAAGCCCCGAATTGATTGATTACGAGCAAAGAGAGAGGCAGCATGGGAAGACAAGGAAATCAGTCGGGTCTCCAGAGAAGCGCAGCGCTCAAAATAGGAATTGAAGGGGGAGACCTGAAAACTCGGGACCCGGCCACGCCATGGATAAAGGAGCAGCCGGTGGCTAAATTTTTGGCTGGCCCCGCGGGCGCACGTCGTTTAGCGTTTCCGCTCGCCCGCCTTGGTCCTTGCCCCTGGGGCCCTCCGAGATGCCGGGACCGGCCGTGGAGGCAGCGGCCAAGGGCGGCGGTCACCACGACCACCACGACGGTGGTCACCACGACCACCACGACGGCGGTCACCACCACGAGGGCCACGGCTGCGGCGGGAAGGCGGCCGGCAAGTGGGAGAAGACGTACCTGGATGTCCTGGGCATCTGCTGCACCGCCGAGGTGGCGCTCGTCGAGCGTCTCCTGTCGCCCATCCACGGCGTGAGGGCGGTCACCGTCGTCGTCCCGTCCCGGACCGTCATCGTCGACCACGACACCGCCGCCGTCTCCCAGTTCCACATTGGTAACCAAAAAAAAAAAAAAATCCCTCGTCTCAATCGATCGCCTGCCTACATTGTCGTCTCTCGTCTCTCTCTTGCACATTCTACGCGAAATGCGAATTCTTGCACGATGGATCGGAGTTAGTCAATCTCTGTTTGCACATTTTCCGGATCAGTGAAGGTTCTGAACAAGGCGGGTCTCGAGGCCTCCGTTCGAGCCTACGGCAGCAGCGCCGGCGCAGCCAGCCGTTGGCCCAGCCCGTTCATCATCGCCTGCGGCGTCCTTCTCGCCGCGTCGCTGTTCGCGCCGCTGCTCCCTCCGCTGCGGTGGCTGGCGGTGGCTGCCGCCTGCGTGGGGTCCCAGCCCATGCTGCTGCGGGCGTTCGCCGCGGCGGGCAAGCTGACCCTGGATATCAACATCCTGATGCTCATCGCGGTGGCGGGCGCCGTGGCGCTCGGGAGCTACACGGAGGCAGGCGCCATCGTGTTCCTCTTCACCGTCGCCGAGTGGCTGGAGACGCTGGCGTGCACCAAGGCCAGCGCCGGGATGATGTCCCTCATGTCCACGGTGCCCAAGACCGTCGTGCTCGCCGAGACGGGGCAGGTCGTCGGCATGGGCGACGTCGCGGTCGGCACGGTCGTCGCGGTCCGGGCCGGCGACGTCGTCCCCGTGGACGGCGTGGTCGTCGACGGGCATAGCGAGGTCGACGAGAGCAGCCTCACCGGCGAGTCCTTCCCCGTGCCCAAGCAGCCGCAGTCCGAGGTCTGGGCCGGCACCATCAACCTAGATGGTAACGATAACAACAGCCTTCGATCTGTTTTTTCTTTTCGTGCTTCAACAACAATGTCGATGAGGTGATGTCGCAGGTTACATCTCCGTGAGGACGACGGCGCTGGCGGAGAACTCGACGGTGGCGAAGATGGAGAGGCTGGTGGAGGAGGCGCAGAACAGCCGGTCGAGGACGCAGCGGCTCATCGACTCGTGCGCCAAGCACTACACCCCTGGTACGCCCGCACGGTCACCACCTCCGGAAAACGACCGCCCGTCTCAAAAAGGCGTGCTAGCGTAGAATTGGCATAGCAGTTCAGCAGAAGCAGTGTTGCTGTTCTTTTTGCGTGTGCAGCCGTGGTGGTCCTCGCGGCAGCGGTGGTCGTCGTGCCGGCGCTGCTGGGAGCCCGCGACCTGGAGCACTGGTTCCGGCTGTCCCTGGTGCTGCTGGTGAGCGCGTGCCCGTGCGCGCTGGTGCTGTCCACGCCCGTCGCCACCTTCTGCGCGCTCCTGCGGGCGGCGCAGATGGGGCTCCTCATCAAGGGCGGCAACGTGCTTGAGTCGCTGGGCGAGATCAGGGTCGCCGCTTTCGACAAGACCGGGACCATCACCAGAGGAGAGTTCAGCATCAAGGAGTTCCAAGTGGTTGGGGACAAGGTTGAAATGAGCCAGCTGCTCTACTGGTATATACTAGCATACTGTTAGATTTACTCTCCCAGTAGATTAAACTGCTGTCAGTGTACTGTTTCAGTAAATTAAACTGTTACTAATGAAGCTCGCCTGGTTCTGGGGGATTTTACTCTTCTTGCAGGGTATCTAGCATTGAGAGCAAATCAAGCCATCCAATGGCTGCTGCACTTGTGGATTATGCTCAGTCCAAATCTATACAGCCGAAGCCGGAGGACGTCACTGAAACCTCTATCTATCATGGCGAGGGCATCTATGGGGAGATCAATGGGAGACAAATCTACATCGGAAACGAAAGGATCATGGCAAGATCCTCCTGCCATCAACATGGTAAGGACTTGACTAATGAAGTAAATTTCAGAAATATTGAGCTTTGTTCACACATTCTTGGCATGACGAAATAAACTTCATCACATATAAGCTGCCCACCACCACCAAGAAGGAGATGGTCTGACGAAAGGTGTGTCCATCGGTCTCGTGATCTGCGACGGCGACCTCGTGGGGAAGTTCTCGCTCTCCGACACCTGCAGAACCGGGGCGGCCGAGGCGATCCTGCAGCTGAGATCAATGGGGATCAAGTCAGTGATGCTCACTGGGGACAGCGCCGGAGCGGCGAAGCACGCGCAGGAGCAGCTCGGAGGCGTCCTGGAGGAGCTCCACGCGGGGCTCCTCCCGGAGGACAAGGTCCGGCTCATCCGAGAGCTGCAGACGAGGCACGGGGCGACGCTGATGGTGGGCGACGGCATGAACGACGCGCCGGCGCTGGCCGCGGCGGACGTGGGCATCTCCATGGGCCTGTCCGGGTCGGCCGCGGCCATCGAGACGAGCCACGCCACGCTCATGTCCGGCGACATCCTCAGGGTGCCGAAGGCTGTGAGGCTCGGGCGGCGCACAAGGCGGATCATTGCCGTGAACGTGGCCTCCTCCATCGGCGCCAAGGCCGCCGTCCTGGCGCTCGCCGTCGCGTGGCGGCCCGTGCTGTGGGTGGCCGTGCTCGCCGACGTCGGCACCTGCCTGCTCGTCGTGCTCCACAGCATGCTGTTGCTGAGGGACGCCGGCCGCGCGCGCCGGAGGTGCGGCGGCGGGGGCGCACAAGGCGCCCAAGGCGTGCTGCGGGACGGCGGCGCACAAGTCGCCCAAGGCGTGCTGCTCGACGCCAACCAAGTCTCCCAAGGCGTGCTGCGCGACGCCGACCAAGTCTCCCAAGGCGTGCTGCGGGACGATGAAGCCGGTGGCGACGAGGCCGCAGCAGGCCGCTGGAGGCGATCACAAGCACGGCAAAGACGGCCACGGTTGCTGCCACAATCAGAGCGCGCTGCCCGAGGACGCCGTGGTGATCGCCATACCGGGACCGGGGCGGGCCGTGGAGCACCGGAAGGACGCGGCCGGTCACGAGAAGGCAGACGGCCACGCCGCCGCCGGGGGATGCTGCGGCGGCCACGGTGCTTCCCCGCCGCCGCGCGGCGCCCCTGCTGGGCGGGTGCTGCGCGGCAGCGCACGGCGAAGACGAGGTGTGCATCGTCATCAGCGCGAGGTCACCCTGCTGCAGCACGGCGAGGAGTCGGTCTGGTTCTCCCAAGGACGCCATTTGCTGCCACGGCTCCGGTGGTAAAGACGGCGGCGGCGCCATCTCAGCCCTCGTGTGCTGACTGCTGACTGACCTACCATTAGTGGAATACGATCGATCGCCTGGTATATCGAAAATTACTCCTCTATCCTATGACCACCTGTACAGGAAGTTGTTACTATTACGAGTCCTACTGTACTTCGTAGAGTGCTCTTGGAACCTAACCTGAGATCGGTTGGGAAGAGCTTAATTTACGAGGCAGTGACGTGGCTAGCCCATTGTCAGGCTTATTGTTGTTTTTTTGCATCACCGTCGTCAGCTTGTGCATTGCGTGTCCTCTGAAATGAAATGCCAGGGTGAAACGAAGCACCCGTTGAATTTTCACCTCAGCTGGGCACTCTGTAATGGACCACCATAAGGCGCGACCGGTCACTTGTTTTAGGAACCCGCAACCCTGCCGCCTCATCCCCGCTTTCACTTCAGTCGTCGTCTTTGACCTTGACCTCGACCGCGCCTCCCCCTCCCCAGTGGTGGCCGGCGGCTCCCGCTACCTCACCGCGCTGTCCAATTCTTGTCCCCGCCTCTCGATCCCGCCGACGACCTTCGTCGCGACGCCCCCGCCGCCAGCCCCGCCCAACTGCCTTCTCCTTCCGCTCCGCCCTGCCGCCGTCTAGCCGCCTCCACCACCGTGTCGCGGCCGCCGTGTTCTTCGTCCTCTCCGGCGCGGGCGCGGCCGTTGTGCGCTCGGCTCCGAGCGCGACCTGCCGTGTAAAAGAAATTCTACTCTGTAATACGGTCTCGTTCCCTCCCTTTCAGTTTCAGCTGCGGTGGCAACAAGGCGACACACATGCACAACACGCACGAAATATTGGAGGCTATAATGAATTTGGTAGCTAATTGAATTGCACTGTGGTGATGGTGATGGATTCACCAGCTCAGCAAGAGGCATTTCGGCCGGCGTCGGCGGCATCTGTTCTGTGGACTGTGGTGATGGTGACGAATTCGGTTGCTGGTTAAAGTCACAAGTCCTCCGTCAAAGTCAAGGGAATATAGCAGTTCATACATACAGTCATACAGATAAAGGCACAATACAGCATATATATTTATGTATCTGAAAGTCGTTATTCCACTTCGATCTCTTCCTTTTCAAAAACTGCCATTTTTATTTCTTCGACGAAGTTGAGCCTTGCGTGCCAAAGTCGTCAAAGAAGTAGGGCGCCATGCGCGTGAGCCCACTGAGCCGTGAAGCACCACAGGCAACCACAGTGATCTAACAACAACAGGTTTCCTTCTCCTAGGGTGTCGACATTCTTTGACGAGATTCAGATTCCAAAGGTTTGAGGGAAAGACACCACGGCGACTTTCATACTTATAAAGTGATATTTACATCTTCCCATTAATTATTATCTAAAAAAGTTATATTTACATCGTGCGAGTAATAGAATCAGGGGAGGGTAACATATTATTACATTGGCATTGATCATGTAATGAAATATCAATTTAGACTCTTGGGTACACACCTCCTATGCAGTGTTTATTTTGCCTACAAGGACATGTGCTCCATGTCATCCAACAGTTGACTCCATCTGTCCCAAAATAAGCACACATTTTGCTTATTGAAAAGTCAAATTTTTGTAAGTTTTACCAAATATAAAAATATTAATATTTATGATGTTTAATAAATATCATTAAATTAGATGTCAAATATTTTTAAGTAACATATACAAAATATTAATATTATTATTTTATATATACTTTGATAAACTTAAAAGAAGTTTGGTTTCTCGATGTGCATATTCATTTTAGACATTACAGTACAAAGTTTTGGTGTACTCTTTGTCAAAGTTTGGTGTACTCCTTGTCAAAGAAGTTAGGCGCCATGTGCACCGTCGGTAACAAACAAAGGGTGGCGACATTGTGTCGACATTGCTGCTTCAAGAAAATCTTGGCAACCAACCGGCTGAGAAGAAGCGTATGCATCCAGACTGCGATCGGTTCAGGAAAAAGATAGAGCAGGCCACAGTTGCTGTCTTCGTTTCTCAATCGCATGTTCGCATGGCTTATAAGCCATACTTTTTTAGCCAACGAATATTATTTTTCTCTCATAATAAATCAGTCAACGGTACTTTCAGTCATGGCTTATCAGCCAAGCGAACCGGGCAATTTGCTGTGCCTCTCCAAACAGTTGCAGCAACTCAAAAAAATAAAATATTGGAAGAGAATGGCAGAAACACTATATATTCCTTGTCTTTTTTCCCCTGTTCTCCAACTAATTAATTACTCTAAACAACTCCTCTCTGACGATAGAACAAAATTCGATAGAGACTAATCAGGCCCATTTGGCTAGCATGGACATGAGTCCGGCGCCGACGAGCATGGAGACGTTGATGCCGAGCTGCAGCTTCCCCCTGCTCTGCACCTTGGGGTTCATGAAGTCCTCGGCGAGGAGGTCGACGAGCGCCATGTAGATGAGGATCCCCGCCGCCACCGAGTTGAGGATCCCCTCCACGATCAGCGCCTTGGGGCTGTCCTCGTTGTACACGGACGAGATCCCGATGCCGACCAGGATGCCCACCGGCGTCGTCAGGCAGAAGAAGAGGACCATGGTCACGATCGACCGCAGTTTGAACTTGGCCTGCGTAGAAACGAACAGTTTAATTAATTATACTTGGAACAAATACTCAAAGGGCATATGTCGTTGGTCGTTGCATGCACGTGGGGGGCATATTTTCTTAAGGGCGAATTTTCTATCTCCGTGTACCAATATAATATGTTCTTCTCCGAAATGCTTGAAGCAAAAGAAAAAAAAAAGGATAGAAACCATAGTTTTTTTAAGCTAAAGTGCAGAGTACCGCACTCACGGATGCTTGGCTACATTTGTAGATTCACGGATAAAAGATCCTAGTTTTCAGAACGGGAATCCAAGCAAGTGGAGCTTGTGCACCGCGTGTCTCGGAACCACCCGAAGTGCAGTGCTTTGGTACTTTGTTCTCACAAAAGGTAGCGGCGGCAGGGGCTCACGGTTAAGTATATCAAATCATGCTTAGCTTTAGTGCAATCCATATATTCATCTATCACCTCTCCTTTCTTACCCAACACAAATCATGGCAGCAGATCAGACAGATTTTCAAAGTGATAAAGTGCTATATTCTTTTCATCAACCATATAAAAAACTAACCCGTACGGACCGTTGCATACAGATGTACATTTTCTTTCTCCTTTTAGGTTTTAATAACACAAGTGTCATTTGGGAAAAAAAAATCAAATGTAGGGTATTATATGAAGATGGACGCTAAGGTGTGGGGAGAGGTAGGGGCTCTTTTGCTTCATGGACCGAAAAAATTATTTGGCCATGCAAGCCTTCTAGGCGTCCGATTTCGGATGCCTGTGGCCGGCGCCACATCACAAATAAACAAAACCCGAAACCTAAGCAGACGCAGTATGATATAATGATGATTAATACCTGAACGATGCAGCCGCCAAGACCCATGCCCTCGAACATTTGGTGGAAGCTCAAGGCGACCACCAGAGGCTTGATGGTGCTCGGGTCTTCGGACGCGCCAAGGGAGATGCCGATGATCACTGAGTGAACCACAATGCCAAGCTCAAGAACCTACAAATTGTTGGTCAAAAAAGTTTCAATTTCCATGTCGTTGCGTTTTCTTTGCAGTTAATATTTACCCACTTTTTATATCAAAACTAAATTCTAGCCGTATTATTAATCACTAATGTACCGTGGGCCATACTTTAGAGAAATTACATATATACTCCTACATGGTATGCGTTCCTTTTAAGTTTTGATCTATTTCAGTATTGATGAACTCCTCTAGTGTTTCATCAAAATGAACTCCTCTAGTGTTCATCACGCTAGTATGCTTTATTTTGCTGTTTTTTTTAACGTCAGTGATGATAAATAAATGCATGGTTAAATATAGCTGTTACGCAACTCACGATTAACCCGATGAAAAAGTAACTAATTACCTGCGCGATGACCCGGTGGCGCAGCGCGTGCTCCTTGTCGCCCTCGGCGCCGCCGACGGCGGCGACGATCGCCGAGGAGCCGTGCGCGTGGCCGTGCGTCGCGTGCGTGTGCATGTGCACATGCCCGTCGTGGTCGTGGTCGTGGTCGACGTGCGGCGCCGCCGACGCCACGGCCGCCTGCTGCTTCTCCTCGTCCCCAACGGCGGCGCCGCTCACGGCCTCGGCGCCGGCGCCGGCGCTGTTCTTGAAGTGGACGCGGGTGAAGTAGCCCGTGGCGACGGTGTCGACGACGAGCGTGCCGATGGCGCCGACCATGGCCCCGAACCCCGCGAACGGGAAGCTCTGCCACGGCCCGCCAGAGAGGCACTCAGAGGTGAGCTTCTCGAACGCGTCGGGAGGATGTGGATGAACCCGGTGGCGAGGATGACCCCGCCGCGAACGCCTTGACGAGGAAGAAGACGTCCCCGTCGGCACGCAGCGCCGGCACGCGGCGGCCCAGCACGGGCAGGCAGCAGCCCAGCGCGCCGCACACCAGGATGGAGAAGAACGCCGCGATCTTAAGCGCCTTGGCGCGCGCGCGGTTGCCGCCCTGCGACGCCGCGCCGTCGGCACCGCACCCGCCGTCGTCGTCGGCGCGCGCGGCGGACGCGAGGAGGAGCAGCGGCACGGCGGCCAAGGCGAAGACGTGCACGGCGCGTGACGACCTCATGGCCGGCAGTGGAGCGTACCTACCGGTGGTGCGTCGACGACGCGAGGCGGAGGAGGAGGTACAAGGGAGGAGAGCTCGCAGCGCAGTCGCAGCCAGCTACGTGGCTGGTCTGATATAGGGGGCGGAGGAGGAGGAGGTACAAGGGAGGAGAGCTCGCAGTCGTAGGCAGCTACGTGGCTGGTCTCATATAGGGGGCGAAGGCGGCGGCGGGGCGTCGTGGTTTCAGCTCGTAAATTCAATTAGGGCTTTAATCGCGTTATTTAAAGGGTGTTTGGTTCTTTACTCGCTCCTAAAATTTATGTCACGTCAAATATTTAGAGGCTAATAAGGAGCATTAAATATAAATTAATTACAAAACCAATTACATAGATGGATGCTAATTTCTGAGACGAATTTTTTAAGCCTAATTAATTTATCATTAGCATATATTTACTGTAGCACTACGTTGTCAAATCATGGACTAATTAGACTTAAAAGATTCGTCTCGCAAATTAGTCGCAAGTTGTGCAATTAGTTTCGTAATTAGTCTATATTTAATACTCCATACATGTGTCTAAACATTTGATGTGATAGAAATTTTAAGAGAAGGGAACGAACAAACAGGCCCTTAATTAAGAAACGACTGTGACACGATGACGACAGGCATGAGAAATAACAGTGCGAAGTACGAGGTTTCCTGGAGATGTTCTGGTTGTTGGGAGGAAATTACCGGCAAATGACGACACTTTTTTATACAGAGAGAGAAGGGCGGTGGCGACATGTATAGCCTCTGCCCTGCAGGCTGCAGCAGCTGCCTCCGCGTGTGGATCAATGAATGAATGCCGCTGTGTCAAACTGGCACGAGACCGTGACCATGCCGGATGAACACCTGACATCTAGGCACTGACACGTAGGGCCTGTTTGGTTCTGATCTTGGCAAAGGTGCTTGGGCAGGCAGCTCCCACACCGTCGATTTTCAGCGTCCGGTGGCCAGATCGACCCGCCTGGACGAGCACCCCCAGGCCGCGCCGCGAACCAAACTCACTTACCGTATCTTTATAAAAAAATTGTCATAGGGCAATGGGGCAGATGAAGCGTCATACACTTGAACACAAAAACTAAGATGACAATCTTACGTCCTGTTGGTTTGAACTTGTTTGACCATAGCTGAAAATACTGTTGGCTGATCTGGTGTGAGAGAAAAATACTATTCGTTGACTGATAAGCCATAACTTATAAGCCAAATACGATCAAACGAACAGGCTGCTAGACCGACCCCAATTGTTGCATTCATTGGTGGACCTACACTTGAATGGAGCCCGAGAAAATCTTTAGGCGCCGATGAGCTTGTGTTTTGAAGTTTTTGATAGAGCATACTGCAAAAAAGAAGACCCCAGGATGTGGTGGGCTACAACCTAGGCGGACAGTCATGGTCGCTAGGCCTTAGGTCCATCACTGGCCTAATTTGATAAACAAAATCCACTTGATTGCATTCCTTTGAAACCCAATGGTACGTTAGAACCGAAAGAGCAAATCGTTGGATGTAGGGGCCTAGAGTTAATTAATAGAAAAACGTGGGTAGAGGTACGACATTTGTGAGAAGCCAAAAAAAAGATCTTGGAGATAGACTGTTGAAGACTTTGAAGTTGTTAAGGGCGCGTTTAGTTCCAAAAAATTTTGGTTTTTGTCCATCACATCGAATTTTTGGACGCATGCATGAAGCATTAAATATAGATGAAAAAAACTAATTGCATAGTTGAGTGAGAAATCACGAGACGAAACTTTCGAATCTAATTAGTCTATAATTAGACACTAATTATCAAATACAAACGAAAATACTATAGTAGCAAACCCAAAATTTTTGGCGAACAAAATGTGCCCTAAGGCCAATATGGGCAGGACATGCCAGCGCAAGAATCGAAATTTTCGTCACGTCGTCTGTCATCCTGAGTGAGGTCTTGTTTAGATTCTAAGTTTTTTCGCTCTCTATTTATCACATCAAATCTTTGGACACATGCATGTAGTATTAAATATAGATAAAAAAAATAACTAATTACACAGTTTGATTGTAAATTACGAGACAAATTTTTTGAGCTTGGTTAGACCATGATTGAACAATAATTATCAAATACAAATAAAAATACTACAGTATCAAATACTAATTCCTAACCGCGAACTAAACAAGTCCTGAGACAGACGACTGTAGTGGCTGGCTTGCCCGCCGCCGACGGGCGTTGTTGGTACGGAAACGAACGAAACGACGGCGACGGTGGGGGCGGCACCGCATGACGACAAGGTGTCGACACTGGCCCCCGACGACCACCCCCTGGCCTCGTCGAATCGGAGACGTGAACTGACGCACGCGTGTACTGAAGCAAAACTAACCACCAAACACCGTGCTTATTTATTTAATAATTAATAATTATTTATTTTTGCCCAAAAATACACACTGCAGTACGTATATTCCTACGTCACAGGTACGTGTTATTTTGTACGCACTGTTTTGATTGACGACAGACAGCAATAGCAATATAGCATGGTGGGTGCTGGACATTGACGACTTGACCTAACCTCAGGCCGTGCCGTGTGTGAGTGTGTGAGCGTGCTTGCGGTGAAATTTGACCGACGACCATGCGTCCAAATAATATCTTAGCTAAGGTCCACGCAGGACCACACACGCGACCTTGCTAGTCTTCTTATCCACTGGAGTAGTACGGCCACACGTGTCCAATTTTCAGCACATATGTCCACTTCACTGGCGTGGTGAATGAGTTGCGGTTGCGGCACTTCTTTTTTCCGTCATAATGTACTCCCTCCATCCCACAAATCAGTTCGTTTTGGACATGATTTAGGATACCAAGGAGCAATTAAGTAGAGTGTATTTTTCCCTGTATGCACTTATTAAATAGGTCTGTGGGTATCATTTATACACTAACCGTGCGTAGCTGGGGTGGTATGCACGCTGCCTCCTGATCTAGGAGGCCTCAGTTCGATCCCTACCACGCTCGGCATTTTTGCAAAGGTCACGAATTTTGCATGGCAATTGTGCACTCGGCCGCGTTTTTCGCCTTTGCCCGCGCTTTTTTTTGTATGGCACTGTGCGCGCGCGTGAATTTTATTTTATTGGCTTGCCCGGAGTATTTGCGCGCGTATTGGCCTTGTATTCGCGCGCGTATTCACGGCGTACTGGCGCGTTTCCGAGCGACGCTTGGTTTCTGCACTCGTACTATTAATAAAACAGAGCCATCCTTATTAGCTTCTCTGCTACTCGTGTGAGCCACAGTACTTCGTGAGCATCCAAGATGGAGTTCGATCTCAATGTTGAGCCTCCATTGGAACATGCCAGAGGTATTCTTTTTGCTTTTCTTCTTTCAATCTACCGTCCTTTCTTCTAGCTACGAACTTCATGAACATGGTGCGCTTGTAGGCTTCTTTGATTTGAGCATTGCTTAATTTTCAATAGGCTTTGATCTGAACTTAGAACCGGAAGACGCTGCTCTTGATGATGTGATAGATTCGACTTTACAGTATGATGAGGAGGCTCCCATACAAGGTACTCGTGCTTGTTCTTTCATGCTTTGATTTGTTCTTTTCATGCGCTTTTGTTGGTAACTCACTGGATGTCGTTGCACTCATATGAAGGCACGGCGGGAAAAAAGACATGATGAAGAATTCACTAAGCTAGTATTTCAAACTTTGTTGGCTAGAAGCAACAACGAGAAACTAGGGAAGAAAGATACAGCAGAGGTGGCTGAACAATTTGGAATTAGCCTTCGCTCTACTCAAAAGTTATGGAAAAGAGGTAAAACTCATCTTGACCAAGGTATCCCGGTTGATGTTGCTAGTCGTAAAAGAGGTAGGAATGGCCGTAAGAAAATTCTAGTTGATTTAGAGCGTTTGCGCAATGTTCCACTCAAAGATAGGATGACTCTTGAAGATGTCAGTAAAGTACTTGGCATTAGCAAGTCCACGTTGCATAGGTACTTGCAGCAAGGCCTCCTTAGGCGTCACTCTAATAGCATCAAGCCTTACCCGACCGATGCTAACAAAATGGCTCTCGTTACGATGGGCGGTTGACATGGTTGATCAAGGTTCTAGTTCTTGTGGTGATCCAAGGTTTAAGGGGTTATTTGACCATGTCTTTATAGATGAAAAGTGGTTTTTCCTCACACGAAATCGAGAATTATTATTTGCTACCGATGAAGATGAACCCCACCGTACATGCAAAAGCAAAAATTACATTCCTAGACTCATGTTTTTGTGTGTGACTGCTAGACCAAGGTTTAGAAATGGACAATGCATTTTTGATGGAAAAATAGGCTGTTTTCCTCTTGTGACTTATGAACATGCTCAAAGGAGAAGTGCCAATCGTCCTGCTTTGGTGCTTTGGTTGTCAAGCCGATCACATCGATTACAAGAGATGTGATCGGGGATTTCATGATCAACCAAGTATTGCCTCGCAATTAGAGAGAAATGGCCTCATGAGGAAATAAACCAACCGATCTACATACTGAGCAAGATAACGCACCATCTCATTTAGAAGTGAATGATCCTTTGTTTTGTGAGGCTGCAAAAAAGATGGTTTCGACATTCGTCTTAAAGGTCAACCACCTAACTCACCGGACATGAACATTCTTGACTTGGGCTTCTTTAGAGCTATTCAATCAATTCAATACAAGAAGCATGCTAAAACAGTTGAGGACCTAATTCCAGTCGTACAAGAGGTAAATTTACTAATATTATTATTCAAAACAATGTGTTTTCTTCAATTACTCATTGTATGGTTTCTTCAACACATGTAGGCATTCCATGAGTACTGTCCCAAGAAAGCAAACATGATTTATTTGACACTGCAAGGTGTTTTCAAGGAAACCATGAAGGCTAAAGGATGTAACCGGTTCAAGATTCCACACATGGCAAAAGGGCACCTTGAGAACTGGGAAGGCTTCCATTGCAACTCACCATGAGACTTCCTTGCTAGCTGATTCCATTGCCACTCTTCTTTGCATCAAGCAATTAGA